TATATGTTTAACAAGTTATAAATTGTGTCAGAAAAGCCAAATGAATAAATGTTTACCCCACCCCTAAAATTGTAACACATCAATTCTGAACAATTAATAACAGAAATTTAATACAGCTCATAATGAATTAATTCACTCTGACACAAACTAAGTTCAATATAAGTTTTTAAATTTTTTTCTGAGCGGGGGCTATGACATGACATGTCATGTCTTGTTTATTATGTCTTGAATATATTAAGTGGAGGTTTCCACAATAAAACCAAATTTATACAGCCTATACCCTGATTGTTGTAGGAATTTTGTCATTGACTTATCACCATATACATGTACTTTTACTACTGATGAGATTGTGTTTGTTCTTTCAAGATGATGGATGTGTTGATAACTATGGAAGAAGACATGAAAATAACGATGAATGGAGACATCCTGTTGATAATTGTGTTTTGTGTAGGTGTATAGGAGATACTATAAATTGTGAAACTGAACAATGTCAACCTACATGTTCACACGGAGTTAAAAAACCAGAATTGTGCTGTCCTGTTTGTCAAGGTAAATTTTGAATACAAAACATGACATGTTCAATTAGAAAATTAGATATAGCAGTTTCCCTATGCTTATGTATGGCCAATAGAACACATTCACTTCAAACCTATCTGTGTTTGTGAAACTGTATTAATCAATCATTATATGTTAAATATTAAAACTTTCTGACAGGAAATGTAAAATATTGTTTATTGCCAGGTTGTTTATATCGAGGAGTAGAGTACCTTGATGGTGATGATGTGAATAATGGCAATCCATGCAGCCAGTGTACATGCAATAGTGGTACAGTTGATTGTATCCCAATTATTTGCCCACAAGTTAGATGTCATAATCCAACTATACTGCCAAATGAATGCTGTCCAGTCTGTCACGGTATGTATATGTATGCTAAAGCCTTGAATTGATAACATTTATTTATCAATCTGATTATCATAGTTCTCATTCGACTCTGATCGGTTGTATGTGTATAATAATAATAATCTTTATTTATAAACGTATCCTTAATTGAGATATTGTTTGTGATACAATAAAGTTAATGTGCGTCTGTGTGTGTGTGTCTGTGTGTGTGTGTGTGTGTGTCTGTGTGTGTGTGTCTGTACATGTATGTGTGTCTGTGTGTGCGTCTGTATCTATCCAGACCTCTATCTCAGACATGCCTATGCCAATTACATTCAAACTTCACACATAACACACATAAATGTATCACATGCATTTATTACATCATCTACTTCAAAATGGCAGCCATTTTAGTGCTAAAAAGTAATCAGTCTCAAGCATTTCTGACATTTTGAAATAGATACTCAGTCATGCAAACATGTTTTATTTAAATATGGTATGCCCATTAAATGATTGGTCCATGATGCGGAAAACAAGGTATCCAGACAATCCACAAATAAATATCACTGATAAACATTTTTTATCTTCAAATCTTTTAAAATTATTTACAGAATGTACATACAGCCAATCAACTTTCCAAGATGGAGAAACATTTGTGGACCCAAGAAATCCTTGTCTGTTATGCACATGTGAGGTTAGTAATATACATTGGTTACCATGGGTACATTGATATTCATATAATGCCCAGTTGTGTGTAAATTTATGAATGTGGTTACCATGGGTACATTGATATTCATATAATGCCCAGTTGTGTGTACATTTATGAATGTGGTCACCATGGGTACATTGATATTCATATAATGCCCAGTTGTGTGTACATTTATGAATGTGGTTACCATGGGTACATTGATGTTCATATAATGCCCAGTTGTGTGTACATTAATGAATGTGGTTACCATGGGTACATTGATATTCATGTAACGAGGAAAATATGACACCAGGCAGATATGAAATCACCATGCGTTCTTTTAATTTCAAATATGAGCAACTGTTAAAGTTAACACGACTGAAACCTACATAAATACAATAAATAGACAAGATTAATACAATGTCATTGGAGGTATGGAGATCATAATTCCAAGTAGAAACCATGATATCAAAATACAATAGTTTAGCTACTATGCAAGTACTGAATGTACGAACTACACAATAAACTGTATCATGCCTCTCAATAGACTCAAGTCGACGCATAGACTTCCTTTTCTCATAAATATAAATAAATAACATCTAATGCGAGTCACGGAAATAATATTGCACTAAAGTAAAGCGTATATAAACTTGCCCCAACCAGTACAATTCAGTGACGCCCTATATAATTACAAAATTTCTTTTTGCACGCAAACACACCTACAATAATTCTACGTTCTCATTTAGAAAAACAACTACAATTCCACAAATATATACACAAATATTACATAAATATTACGCAAATACAATAAGAAAAATGAACAATTCATCATAAGTTTATGTATCCCGAGTCACTAATTACCACGATGAACAGGTGAAATAGGCTTTCAACATTGTTCCGTGCAAACAATGGCGTACACGCTCCTACTCATGTTTTACAAGTTAACGAAATGTACAATGTTTACACTAAATTTGCTACACAATACGTTTCAAATATTAGCTATCATCTTACCGAATGTGAATTCCTAAACATGGAAAGTAGATGGGAAATACTGCAAGAGTTGTCATCCCTCGGTGGTTTCAAAGCGATGCTCACGCCGCAAATCTCAGTGACCAACTGACTGAATGTCAAGTTAAACACCACTGCGCATGCGCGAAGAAAATTACAAGGCTAATTAGAATGTGAATACATTTGACCTGTCACATTCATATAATGCCCAGTTGTGTTGTAATTTATTTTAGGCTGGTGTTGTGGACTGTAATCGACTTGATTTGGATTGTATTCCTGAGTGTAGTCACCCTGGTCGTATGGTTGATGTTTGTTGTCCAGTTTGTGACACATGTGAATATGAAAGAAGAAACTATGCAAATGGAATTGCATTTAATCCTGATAGTGGTGATGTGTGTGATATATGTTTTTGTAAAGTAAGTACACTTACATAGACATATTTCATCCTGAATGCATGCATATTGGTATCAATTTCAAGTTAGTGAGTGATGTAACTTTATAAGCTTACTAAAATTGATATCACCATACTTAGACAAGGGGTAACATCCCCAGAAACCTGTCCAACTCTAGGAACTTTTGAATGATACGGTACATACCAATTGTCTGTTCATTATATGCATATGTATGTGGTTTATTATGTGTTAAATAGAATCAACATTTCAATATTATTTTCTGTTTGGAAGGATGGCAGTGTAACTTGTCAGACACAAGTTTGTGAACAACTAACATGTAAGAATGCAGTTCAAAAATCTGATGAATGCTGTCCTGTTTGTGAAGTCTGTATCGCTGATGGCATTGAACATGAAGAAGGTGAATCTTGGGAGTCCTTGGCAGATCCATGTGCTGTGTGTACTTGTCTTGTGAGTATAAATCATCTCACAGTGTTTTCATCTGTAAGACTACACCACCTTCTACTTGTCATTATCTTACATATTACTGCTTTATGTGTCCACAGAACAGCAGAACTCACTGTCGTCACAAAGAGTGTCCAATCATGCCATGTAAACATGCAGCTAGAATGAACTCAGATTGTTGTCCATCATGTCATAATTGTGATTATGATAGAAGGTTATTCAGAAATGGTCAAATATTCTTAGATCCTTTGAATCAGTGTCAACAATGTTTGTGCCAGGTAAGTATATTTCATCATATCTCCATCAGTAGGCATGTAAAGAGTGCAAAACTCTGCCATAAATGCAAATCCTTAATACAATATACCTCTACCTTATTGGTTTAATATGTCTTATGGCAAAACCCATTATCATATCAATTTTTTTTTTAAACGGAAGACCAAATTGAATTATAATATATAATAAAGAATTTATTGCATCTCTAGAAATAGTTTCCATTGGTTGACAGCAATAAAATGTTAGTAATAAAGTACAATACAAGTAAAGTAAAATGTCAGTTATCGTTATTGTTATTTCTGATTTTTAATAATTGAATTATGAATAATTAATTCACTCAGTCAATCAGATATCCCTATCTGGTAATGATGAAGAAGACTCGTTCAAAAATGTACATTGCTTAGTTTGTGTTTGAAGGAAAACTCTTTCTTAAACAATCTTAAATTAAACTTTTTGAGTTTTCTGGCAAAACATTCATGTTTCCATGGCAATGAGATCTAGAGAACTCAACCAACCTCTAAATGATTTGTACTAGTTTTCATGGAGATGTCATGAGAAGTCATCCATCAAATTTTGGGTTAAACATCATTGTTGTTTCCATGGAAATCAGACCAGCATCTCTACCAAAGTTTAAGGATTGATTTCTATATCAAGGACTAACTCTTCTATCAATTTCATGTGAATCAATTTATCAGGTTTATTGGGTTGTGGAACATCTAATGAAAAGTGACATACATACAAACATACACCAGCAAAACATTAAACTTCTTAACAAGGTTAATGACATTTTATACCCTAGGGTTTCACATGTCCTCATTCCAAGTGCCTCAAATGGGAGATACTGTACCATTCAGTGATTAGGTAATTCTCAACTTGGGAAATATCATTTTGTGACAAAGTAATTAATAGGGGGGGATTTCCACTGCTGTATTTCAGGATGGAAGTGTTGAATGTAAGCATATAGAGTGTCCTGTACTTAATTGTCCAAATCAAGTCACAGATCAAGGTGAATGCTGTCCTAAGTGTTCAGGTATTGTACAATTTCTAATAGTATATCTTAAGTGTTCAGGTATTGTACAATTTCTAATAGTATGTCTTAAGTGTTCAGGTCTTGTACAATTTCTAATAGTATGTCTTAAGTGTTCAGGTATTGTATAATTTCTAATAGTATGTCTTAAGTGTTCAGGTCTTGTACAATTTCTAATAGTATGTCTTAAGTGTTCAGGTATTGTATAATTTCTAATAGTATATCTTAAGTGTTCAGGTCTTGTACAATTTCATAAAGTTTTGTATCATTTTAAATAGGTACTGATTGTGAATACAATGGTCATAGTTACTACAATGAGGAAACATTTTCAAATCCCTTGGATCCATGTGAAGATTGTTTATGTATGCTTGGTGTAGTGACATGTGTCAGGAAATCATGTCAACCTGCTATCTGTCCTTACCCCGTGATTGAAGATTGCTGCCAGTTATGTGATGGTAAGGATAGGTCATGTGACTAGATCTTTTGACTACAAATAAGTATGGTGTTCATGAAGATGTCAAATAGTCGTGAAATAACAAGCAAATTGTTGTCTTACAATATGATTAGACTGAGAAATATGATATATCAAGTCAAGGGTTAGGATAATATATACAGAACCAGTTGAGTGTCATTTTCTGTTACAGGTGACTGAGATAGCTCCCACCTCCCCAACTGTATGATTTTTGACAATTTTAATTAGGTGATGTCATTGAAACGAAGCCTAATTGCATAAAAATTATTATGACACATTCAAGTAATTTCAATATTGGGCTCATGTCTGTTGTTTCTTTTTCCATAGGTTGTACTTATAATGGAGTCACATACAGAAATGGTCAGACATTTTCTGATTTTTCAGACAGATGTAAAGACTGTATTTGTCAGGTAAATAGTTTCCATAGTTACATCTGATAACTTGATTTTTACCCATCTAGTTTTACTATGCATTATTAACATCCTTAGCGTAACATTTTTTCTGTAGATTTGATTTGATCATTACATTGTGTTTTAGTGACAGTGGATAAACCAAATCCTTTTTACTCAGTTGGAAATATAAAAATAGATTCAACTGTTTAATTACATGTAACTATGGTGATATTTGAAATTAAAATTAATGTTTTATTTTCTGTTGTATTGATAGTATGGTCATGTCAATTGTGTAGTGACTGAGTGTGATGTACAATGTAGTCATCCTGTTACCATTGACAACGCCTGCTGTCCTAGATGTGATGCATGCTTTTATGAAGGTAGACGTCTTGCTATTGGACAAATATTCACGGATCCTAACGATCAATGTCTCATATGTTCTTGTGATGTAAGTATTTTTCTTTTTGTCATTATTATGGGTTCTTGCTGTCAAGATATTAAAAATTTCCTTCATACATTTCATGTTCCACAATACAATAACCTATATTTTGCTTTATCAGAACCAGTATATTTTGTAGTGTCATAATTGTTCTCAACTATTTTTAGCTCCGCTGTCGACAAAGTCGACACAGCGGAGCTGTTCATATTACTGATTGTCCGTCGTCGTCATCGTCGGTGTCAACTTTACAATTTCAACTTCTTCTTCAAAACCGCAAGTCAGAATGTTTTCAAATTTGATATGCTAGTACCTTGGATGGTTCTTTCTCAGATTTGTTCATTTCATGTCAAAATCTCAAATTCTCTATTTTTGTTGAATATTTTTGTCATTTTTGGTAAAAAGTGATATTTTTGACTTCTTGTAAAAAACCGCAAGTCCGATTGCTTTGATATTACATATAAGATAAGATAAGATAATTCTTTATTACAACCTTATAGAATGAATTACATATCTATTTTGGTTTATGAAATGCAATAAAGGTGTTAAAATAAACATAACAAGTTAGATATCTAAAATCTACATATATAGGTGCTACATGTGGACTTCTCTCAGATTTGTTCATTTTGTAATGATATCTTTAATTCTCTAATTTTGATGAATATTTTTGTAATTTTTGGTAAAAAGTGATATTTTCGACTTCTTGTTAAAAACTGCAAGTTCGATCACTTTGATATTACATTTATAGGTACTATATGTGGACTCCTCTCAGATTTGTTCATTTCATGGTGATATCTTTAATTATCTAATTTTGATGATTATTTTTGTCATTTTTGGTGAAAAGTGATATTTTTGAATTCTTGTTGAAAACAGCAAGTACTGTTGCTTTGATACTACAGTGTATACATATTGTTCATTTTCTAATGATATCTTCTGTTCTTTAATTGAAATGTGCATTGCTAACAGCGGAGCTATCTCAGCCGACAGGCTGCTTGTTTAATTCTCTTAATGTAGCAAAGTAATGTTCCAACTATGTATTTATGACCACCATTTTATACCAACATACTCAGCTTATAAATAACAACTGTAACAGTGCATTCCAATATCTTAAGAATATAATAATATGGTGGCCATCTTGAATTTATGGGAATTATATGTATATGCAAATATAGAATGTTAAACTGATCACATGATTAGTTCAAGAGACACATCAGTACCATTCATTCATACATGTATGTTGCTTTCAAATCACTAATATGCCATTTATGGTATTACAGTAACATTTTTGGATTTATAAAAATTAACAAAATTGGCATCATGTAAGTTCATCAAGACCTAAATCCATCAAAACATTTTGTATAGATTCTAAATCCAGCTTGGCACCTTTCTCTCAGAATATAGGCTGATTTAATTCATACTTGGTGTGACTATCACTTATTATCACCTTTGTAAAACGACCAACCAAAGTTCCCTTTAGACGGTCACAGCAAAAAGACAATAGCTACTTGCGAATCATTAAAAGGAAAGTGGCCACATGTTACGTTCATGTTACAGAGTGCGCAATCTTTTGGTCTAATCTGGGGGAAGGTGTCCTTCACAATTTGTGTTATGAAGTTGCGAAAAAGTCATGATAAATATGATCTGAAAGAAACAATCTGGAGACTGCAAAAATTTCATCAATATTTTTATTCAAAGAAAGTTGGTTGAACTTCACTGGTCTGTCTCACGCTTGGAGAGAAAATTTCAGCCATCTCATAAACAAAGAAAAATTAACCATATGAATTTATCTGCTAATTTTTAATCCATGTCAAAAAGGGGTGTTGACTGTTCCCTCTCTGGACTCCCTCCCCATGTGTACTACCAACTCTTTCTATCATGTCTTCACTTGACGATAGTTGTCAAGCTATAAATGGGTCACAGTACTCATTTCGCCCAATCTCCTGCTTTTATCACTTTTTAATTGACTCCTTTATGCTTAATTTCCGATCGGAAAATGACCACATTTTTATTGATTTCTTTTCTCGCTCACTTAACTGAAAGCACCGACCTCTCACCCAAATGGTGGTTTTAATAATAAATTTTGAGGATACAACAAGTATTTAAGCAATAACCCCCCGTCGGAGGCGGGTATACCACGAGATATTGCACAATTCACGACATATATGCACAAGCCACAGACGAGTGCATATATGGAGTGAATTGTGCAATATCAAGTGGTATACCCAACTTCGGCGGGAGGTTATTATATTATACCAGTATATTGACAATTCGATAAAACTAGTAAAAAAAGAGTTTACTTGCATCTACTATTAGATCATGATTATGGCCCTTGAACATGAATATTTATAAGAATAGTATGTAGTTGTACACTGAATGCATACAAAAACTATTTATGCAACACAGTTCAAATTGAATACAAACTAATTTTTATTCCGAAACGTATCCACAGTGAATAGAGCAGCGTAAACACAAAAATTAGCATAACAAAAGATGACCTTCCTGACCTTTTACTGACTGCGTCAATGCCATTTGAAATACATGGTCGAGTACAGTTTGGATCATTAAAACAACGGATTTTCCTTTTCATTCCGGTTTTTGTTCAATTTGGACCGTAATTTGCCCATTGAAAGTACAGTAGTGAAATAAACCAGTTTTGTGACTCATCATACTACTTGTAACTGTGGAGACTCGACACAAATCTGCATCTTTCGAAATTACCTTCATCATCTCCTGTAATTTATTTACCCATAGTGGAGAATTACAATACCATATATCGTCGTTGAATTCTGCGTTGTCCCATGTTCTTTGCAACAGATGGAAATAACCTGGGTGCAATTTCACTGCAATTTTGTCAGCTGGAATTCGAACGCCGCTACTGGACACCGGTTGTTATTGGTGGCATACATTTTTGCGTGTGACTCGTAGTTTTTAGCTCCCGTCAAACGGGGCTTATGTGGTACCGGTCTCTGTGACTCTGTGACTAAAATTTTTTCCACTGATAACTCAAGCACACAGCTACCGTAATATATGATGAGTAGATGTACTGATTAGATTTTGGTGCAATTCCATGCATATTAATTAGTCAATTATTGCATTAATTAATTTATAACTTAGAGTCTTTAAAGTTTCTTAACAAATATTTGACTAGGGTGAGTAGCCTAATTTGCATATTGCAATAACGTATTCTGTCGCAAAAAAAAATGGTAATATTTCATTGGAAGGTCTGCAAATTTGCGAATTTTAGTATATAATGATTTATTATATCATGATGGATGTTATTTGAGCAGATACAGCGACTAAAAACATCAAATGTATGTGAGTATGGGGAGTACGCATGCGCAGTTACAAGAGTGATGCGGCCATTTTTTCAGTTTGACGAAAAAGCAGTACCCTTTCCGATTTTCATGAATGCAAGTTCAATTTCACTTTGTGCGCGTCATATTCATCAATAGACAAAATCTCAAATAAAATGAAGCAGTTGATTCCTATTTTACTTAGTGTTTATTCTTGTTTGATATTTTTAAACAAAAATGCACTCATTAAACAAATAGTAAATATGCAAGTTTTTTGTTTTTGCCGAATGAGGACAAGGA